ATTACTGATCTTATCTTTACATGCATGACATTACATCCAAGTCATCCTAACTATATGGACATTTGTATCATTAGCACTTAATGATTTGTAATTATCTATAAATATAGTGTAGTTACATTTGACGATGTTTTACACTTTATTTTCAAAATTTAAGAATTTCAATTATATCGGATATTTTTTTAATGGTTACGTATGTGTTATTGTGAAAAATGATAGAAATTCGGTACAATAGAAATTCCAAGGCCCCTATTAGAAAAAAAATTCTAAATATTATTTTTGAGACAAAATAACTTCAATATTTTTTCGGTTTGCACCAGAATCCATCAAATTGATTCCCAATTCTAAAAAAAATTCTAACTTAGAGTGGGAGGTACATCTCCCAGACACTACCCCACTATCCAGAAACCTGGCGACAGCCTAGAATCATACATATCAAAACTTCTTAGAAAAAAGAAATTCATATTTCCTAACACGCTCACAATTCTAATTAACCATGTTAAACATGTTAAATTGAATTTTATAATCTGTAACAAGTCCGTAAACTGTTTCGGATTTTAAAAAAATGTTCTTATTTATAGTAATAAGTATACCGGTGAAAATTCGCCTACAAAATGTTTTATTTTGGCAAAACTTTCAATATGATATTAAAAAAGGAGAATATTTATTTATATACTTTATTATTGAGATTACTTTGTATTATATGTATATCGAAAACTTGTCTCCTATTATTTTTAAGTGGAAAGGAAAACAATAATTATAATATTTTTTTTTTATTTTTCATAATATTTTTTATCATTAGTATCTGTGAACTCTATGTCAAGCAATTTCAATCGTTTCATGATTGATTAATTGTTTTATTATTATTATTATTATTATTTTTAGTAGTTTTATTATACATAAGGATATTTTGGGATTATAATTTTTCTTACTTTGTAAGAAAATATGAGTAATATAATTGCAATTGGAAGTCTAAATTAATGATAAAAAAAGATAATTACAATACATGCTTCATGTTCAGGTTCATTTATTACACATACACTAATAATCAGTTGTACATGAGGTACAGTATATAACTAAGTCGTCATAGTTCAGTTGTGAAAAAAATTAAATAACATGAATGAGAGGCATGTACATGTGTACAAAATATAGTAACAAACACACAATGAGAACAGAAAGGGATGACGACATATAAATTATGGAGGACAGACGGTGTCGTTTATTTTAGATATGATATGAATATATACAAAGGTTTTTAAAGATTTGAAATTTGTGGTTGACATAATTTCATACGGCCATTTATATCACTTGTCCACGTTTAACAAACATAACACCAAAATAACGAAATAAATGTTCAATTAATTCCCAAACTGTAATAGTAAAGAGAAAAAATTGAAGGTAAAAATCCATTACATATCACTTACGAAAAGTAATGTAAACCTTCTCAAAACATACCAAAATTCGAGTATCGCAATAAATTTCATTTTCTATAACACAAGAATATATTGGGAATATCGTTTAGATAAATATTAGTATCATTATGAAACAAGGGAATTAATATATAGAGTTGTCAATGTTTTATCTTACTTGTAAGACTTTCTGTGGATAGGGCTACGGATGTTTTGATGATTTTTTTTTTCTTTTTTGCTTTTAATATGTGTATCTGAATATTCATATCAAAGATCTTTTAAACATATTCTAAAAAATTAAGCACATTCTAGAAAAAAAAATCTTTTTTTTATAATTAATGTATTTTTGTAGCTTTATTTAGATCAGACCTGATACTTTTCATACTGGGATATTGTATCCTCCTAAAACTGAATTTCGTTACTTATATCTACATTCCTCCTATTCATTTATTTTATTAAATACAGTAATCGACAGTTAAACCAGTTTTTTTTTTTTTTAAATCACAATTCATATCTTATTATTATCATATTTTAACTTATAAATACTGACTTCTGATTTAAATATTACCCCTCATTGGTTGAAGTGTGAGGATGTGAACTTATTATTCGTTTTAGAGGAATGAAAGAGAAAAACAACATAAATAGAGATCAAAAGATATTATTAAAAGTAGAATCCACATGATTAATTCATACAAGTAAATAAAAAAAAAGTTTCACATCTATGAAACAAAATTACAAAAAACATTTCTAGGATATAATGAAGTTAAGGTAGATCATATTCCTCAGAAAACCCTCATTGATCTGTGCGTCCTATCTCTACTACACAGACAACTCTTAATGTAATAGAGTTGTTTATTCCGCAGGTCATTAAATAAATGCAAATAATCTGCCAAAATAATGGCCGGAGCCATTTACCAGTTGCCTTCTTTTATGTTTCTCGGAATCAATTTCTTAAGATTCATCCCAACTGCCTGGCTACTATTGAATGCGATCAAAATTCTGACATATTGGTCCTTAATGGACGCTTTCCATTGTCGGCGTTGAACTTTTTTGCGCTAAGGGTTCCCCGATCAATCTTCCACAAGATTAACCACTGAACGATTGGGAAATTTACCGATTTGATGACATGAAAACTAATTGGCAAAAAGTCGTTCTGCTCAGATATCCGCCTTTCTTTCTCTTTTTTCTATCTCTCCAAAAAATTCACTCGCTGGGTTCTGATTTTGATTAGATGTCATTTACTTTCTTACAAAGAGTCGTAGTAAAATAACGGATGATTCTTAATATATGAGGATCATACAAATATAATAATAAGAACGATTCTATTAAATTAAATCTAAAGAAACCTCATTCAGAAATACAGAATATAAAGTTTATTGAGATTTACAATTATTTCGCCAACATAGTTAAGTTTTCTGCGTTTTATTTTTTCTAAGATTGTCCCGGGGGGGGGGGGGGGGGATTGAATGGTTGAGGAATTTTTTTACTCTTATGACGCATGGATATAAAAATTGTGCTGAATAAATACAATTATGTTTTTGAATTTTAGTTTAAAAATGCACATTAATCATTAAAGTTTATGCGTTTAGGACTGGTTTATCACAAGGACGAAAATTTTCTGGAACAAAACAAAATGTAGATATCTGTAGATATGATGTATGGTAGAAAAGATGTTTAAACTATAGGTGTCATTTCTGAATTATAACGTCTGCGATTGTTATATTTATGTTCTTTCTCAGTTTCTATGTTTGATTTGCATTTATTATTTAGTTGTTTAATTATTATTTTATTTAGTTGTACAGCTAAAAGATTTACTTAAAATAATTCAATAGAATGAGATACTGTCCTTTACAAATATTTTGATATTTCTTAAGCAAAATTTGTACATGACAATTAATTGTCATGTACAAATTTTGCATAAGAAATATCAAAATTTTTGTAAAGGACAATACACATTTACAAAACGGAGTCATTGCCTACTTAAAAACATAATACAACTGGAAATAAATGGTTCAAGAGAATTTTTTTTATACGAAAAGGGGCTGTTTTGTCAACATCTTTCCTTTGTTTAAGCTGATTTTTCAAACAAAGAATAAAACATTTCTGAACAAAAAAGCAAATAACTTTAAAGATAATATATGCATTAATAAGTTGTATCTATTTAAGGTTGCTAGGTCATGGTTTGTCTGTGACAACCATTCCATTACTTGTAATGGATCAGCATTAAGTCCAAACTACTGGTCAAATTAAAGTTCTTTGTGTCTCAGAACTTAATAGATTACATCCTGACGATATGTTTTATGGATTTGAATATCCAATGAAGTCATCAAGAGCATTTGGATGTCCTTAAATTGTGTCCGTACGATTTCTCAAACGGGAATGACACTTCATGAATTTATGAGGAGTTCTCTATATTTTGTATGGTTACTGCAATAAGAATTTCCTTCCAGACCCAAACAATAGATTTATAAGAGGGGATTAATTTAATGGCATGGAGTTCTCATTTATCTTAAAAGTTTCTTCTTCGAACACAATGGATCGAACCACATTTTAGAACTCCCTGATAGGGGAACCAAAGAAAATGTCCCCCCAAAACGTATTAGGCCAATGGAGTCAGAAAGCTAAAACTCGGAGTTACTGCGTTTCCCGGGAAACACGCTGTCGAGATATAGAAATGCTTCGGATTTTAATTGCTAGTGATATGTTATATGTATTCTAAAAATTATTTGGCCATCAATAATCATTGAGTTGACATCTTTATAGGAAGGGGCGTAAACTTTTCATGTGTGCACGTTAAACAGTGCACTGGGTCTTTTTATGAATATGAAAAAGCCGCCCTCAAACCCAGACTCCAAGATTGATGAAATTTTTAATTTTAAAAATGTCAAAGGGATTTTTTTTCTTTGGAAATATTTGCTTTTGAAAGTTAATAAAGATTATTGTTCTCTGGTTTATTTTCCCATAGTAAATTAGCTGTTCACTTTGGTCTTAATAAAACTTTATATTTATTTATTTATTTATTTTTTATTCAATTATTTATTTATTATGTTGTATTGGCTTTGCTTTATCATGTTTTCATTGGTGTAAATAAATTCATATATTAGGAAAACAGCGTGCTACTTTTCTCCAAGAATTTCAAAAATAGTTTTTTTATCAATAATGTTCTTTTCTTGCTCAAATAGTGAAAATTTTAAAAAGACTTGGAGAAAAGAAATTGAATCAGTTAGGAAGAACCCGTCGCTTTGATAATGTATCATATAAACCAGCCAATCAGAACGCGTCTTCTATCTGGGAGGTTGGTCTTTCCGACAATCGGGCATTGATATCTCGGAGAGTAATATTTGATTGATTAGGGGAGCAAGTTTTCACTCTACAAAATCTACACGCGGTTTGTAAAGAGAGTAAATGGTCAACTGATATGGTTGCACTCTACTATATTCAAATAAAAACTTACGGAAAATAAGAGAGGCGTAATTTCGGCAGGAAACCAAAGCAGTGCAAAGACAAACCTACAGACAGAGAAGGTTGATGCCGGTGTCTTCAGGTTTTTCAATCTGGACATATATTATGTAACGAATTCTTTATCATGGACTGGAAGACAGCTTGGTAAAAACGTGCTTTAATTAAGTAGATAAAGTATCTAACGTCGACAAACAACAAGAATGCTGGACTATTGCTCAAATGACAATGGGACGTCGGGGTTTCACCAAAATGCCAGTCCTAACTCCATGTCCATGGCATCACTACTGAACATGAATGTTAATATGGACTCTACCGGGAGACAACCGGCGTTTGTGCTAAGTTCTCCCCCTTTAGCAGCCCTTCATAATATGACAGAAATGAAAGCCCCAGTGACGTCGTCAGCTGCAGCCAATTTCTTGACGTCAGCCCAGTATCAGCAATCTTTGAAGAATTTTTCCGCCAATTCCACCCCTCATGGAATTCAGGATATCCTGAGTCGACCTCAGATTCATGCTCTAGGACTTTCCAGGTTAAATGCTGCTGGGATGTACTTAAATTCGCAATGCAGAATGCCCAAGTTGGCGGAACTTCCCGGACGACCGCCTATTTACTGGCCGGGACTTCTCAATGGTCAAAGCTGGCGACCCAACAGTAAGGAAAATAATCATTGATTTAGGTTAACCTTCATTTCTGACAAAAATTTTAATAGAGGGTAAAAAATGTTTTGAAAGAGTTTATGTGTAATCTTTGACATCTAGAATCAAAACAAATGAAGATCAATGGACAAACAGATATTGAATTCAAAAGCTTTATTTCCAATTAAAAATACAACGTGCCTTTAGTTTCAATGGACAAATTATTTTAGATCACATTGACCCCCCCCCCCCCCCCAAAAAAAAAAAATCAAAGAATTTGTTTCAATTTGAAAGAAAATGGTGCCTATTGTTACATAGAATTTAGTGTCTGTGGTTACCTTCTATCAGTATATGATGTTGTTTATTCCACATAAGAGGATTGTGGGTGAAAAACAGCCTGGTCAAATCAGAATCACAGTCATTTTGTGTATTGACTTTAAACGGTTTTCAGGCAAACAATAGATTAAAGTCGTCTTCGGTGTTTTGTCTGGAGACGAGCAAATAGACACAATGAAGCCTGCAGAAATGTTTAACGTTCTCTTCTTTCTCGTTGGCAGGAAAAAATGAGTTCAATAAGGCTAACATCCGATTCAATTAAAGAATGATATTTTGAGTCGAGAATTTCAATAATGAAATAAAATAGTTAGTATAAATAAATCTTATAAATGATTAGTTAGAAATATACCCCCCCCCCAAAAAAAAAAAAAACTGAAGGAAAAAAAACTGAATGTAAGACTTGTCGTATTTGATTTTTTTACTATTTTTTTAATGAGGGACTAATAAAGCTATGTTAAGCAAAATAATAATAATAATAATAATAATAAAAAAAAATAAAAACTACATAAAAATTAATACTATTGATTAAGATATAATATCTGAAACCAAAAAAAAGTTTATCATGTTGCAACTCATGGAAATTTAATACAACAAAATCATACAACAAAACTTTTTGACCTGTACATAATGATAAATTGATTTATTTTTTAAATAAATACATGCATGTTTTTTATTATTATTATTATTTGATTAATATTAATTCACTGAGAGCCTGTACATTTGTGCATGAACACGTCCTGTTAAGTTTTGAAAATTAAGGGAAGAAAATAATGAAAACAGAATGTGAGAATGTTTATTTTTTGTCTAAATAGACATCTGCTTGAGAGCATTAGTTCTCAATCGTTATTTACTTTTGTTTATTGTAATAAAAGATGCGCCTCAGATCGGATTATTTCACTCTTAAGAATGGCTAAATTAAACAATCTCATCAATTGTTAAATTATTTAATTAAAAAAATAGAAAATTTGGAAAGAGGGCAACAGAAATCAAAACTTCTTTGAAAAATTTTTTTAAACTAGGTCTGTGTGTGAAGCAGATTCTAAAATTTTATTTCAACATAAGCCTCAATTTAATATTCGTATATTGTTAATTAGTACACTCAAATCTAAGCGTTATTTACTGATAAATCAAAATTTTCTTGTCCACTACAATGTGGGGATAAATGAAGTAAAAAATCAGAAATTGAACTGAGAAGACAATTAAATTAAGAAAAAAACACACATTTTTATATTTCATTACCTTTAACTATATATACATTGTATATGTACAGAAAATGACCGACTCTTGATTAATACCTATATTTACACACGTGGTAAACCCAAACAATTCTCGATCACTAAAATTCAATATTCCTTGATTCGATAACAAACATTGGGTCATTCAATATAGCAGATTTGGTCAGATAAAATTGTTTTAAAATGTCCCAAACCCCGAAGAAGCCGTTTCTTATAGGTGATAATATCTAATTACATAGTAGCAAATCCATTTCATACTGATAATATCGGGTGTTTATTAACTTATCGGAGTTTGGTTTGATAAGTCTGTGAAACAGTATCACACCGACGGATGTAATGTTGTCACGTGGTCAAAAAAAGAGGACTGTGCCACTGAGAATAAATTGGTTTTACTGAAATAAGGGTAAAAAAAAAATTATATCGAAAGATTAATAAAAATAAAATTTTGGGGGCATAATGCAAAATTGAGAATAAGAAATAAACGATTTAAAAAAAAATCATGATTAAAAGAAAAGAAAATAATGTCGTCATACTGTTTTCGTCTTCTTTAAAAGTACATCGTTTGGATAATTTTCCCCCAAATTACTTTAAGACATCGTTATCAGCCCTGATAGCGCGGGTCATCTAAGTCATTGCAATAGATATTTTGTTAAATCTCTGTAAGACCTAATATGTCCTCAAAACGGGGTCTGAAATGATAAACAAGTTCTTTTAAAAATCTTTGGATTATTATTTGGGATTTGTTGAAATCGATTTTGAATTATGCCTTCATATGTCTGTCAAATATAAAATTCCATATCGTGTCAATTTCTCTTCTTGGCGGAAATGCATCGATTTCATACACAAGGTTTAGTATAAGATGTTTGTTTACAAAGCTACTTCAGTTCAATTACTATACATATGTAATTATCACTGGGAAAATGTTCTCCATTGAACAAGAATGATGATGAAATTGTGAATATTTGTATATACATAAGGTGACAATTACCTGGTATATTTTCGGTAGGCTCGTCTGGGTAGTTGTATAGTTAAGTGACTTCTCATTAGAGTATCACAGATAAAGCGAAGGAATATTTAAAACAAGAATTGTTGTTGTATAAAATAATAGCAAATATATTTATGATATATTTTATGGAAAATTAAAATGATTATTCCAAGTTAATTTCTATCTATTCCAAAATTCCACTATTTTTTTTTTCAAAAAACTAAAATCTTCCAAAAATTTAAGATGTATCCTGTTCGAAAAAATTGCCAGTTTTCTTTGAAGTAAAGTCAATTTTAAAAATTTGAAATTTTAAAAAAAATATTATTTGTAAATATTTCTTGCTCAAGGTGTATCAAAAAGGAACTAGTAATAAATTCTACGGGTTTCTTTTCCTATAACTAGTACTTTGAAGGTTTACAAACTCCATGTTACAGGTCTGTATACCAATGTCTTTTACCCAATGTAATAACTGTCAATTTAACCGTTGGACAGGTACAGGAAACATTGTAGTGGACAAAGATGGGAAAAAGAAACACACACGACCAACTTTCTCCGGGCAGCAAATTTTTGCTCTGGAAAAAACATTTGAACAGACCAAATACTTAGCTGGTCCCGAGAGAGCACGATTGGCCTACGCGCTAGGGATGTCCGAGAGCCAAGTCAAGGTAAATACAAGTCCTTTATAATAAAGACAGATGACACTTTTGAATGACATAATCCAACATAAATGCCTTTGCATGTAAAAGCAAGTCTTTCTCTACGGCAGAAACAAGGAAAAAAGATCTTACTTAAATCTAGTATAGAGAAAAAAAGATTTTGAAGTTTTCGATGTCTTTACAATTCATGTCTTATTGACATTGTCTTTATGTTCCACCTTTGATACAAAATGATAAAATATCAAAAAAGCGAAAACACCTGTGAGAGAAAATCTTCAGAATTTGGACTACATTTTTAAATATCAATCATATGGTTACTCCACAGCCAGAGGAGAAATCAAAACGAAGAATTAAATTTATAGGTATTGATACCCGGACTAACTGCAACTCCCATAAAACATTATTCCTATTGAAATTAAGGATTGCACACCTGCGAGACCAACTGATATTAGATTTTGCATTGATTGCCAATGAGCCCGAAATTAAGCCAACAAAATACCTATTAAGTCAATGAAATTTGGACGAAACATTATTGGAAGAAAGTGTACTTGATACAAGACTTTAGAGATTATCCAAATTCCTGTTCGTCGATTATTTGACATAAAAACACAATCTAACCATAAGCCTTTAAATCATCGAACAATTTAGCAAGTCAAATCACTTCATTTCATTTTTGCGGCAAAAGAATCAATGGCGAATTCGACATTAATTTCCTACTGAAAATTTCTTGGGTTCTCTGAAAATATCGAGGAATGGTCACGATTCTGTGGAATCCCTGGACCCCTAACTGTTTCGTGAAATGCCCAGATGCTTTATCAAAGTAATCAATGCCCTGGCTCATTATTCTAAACAACCTTGGGGACAGTGTGTAAAGTATCTCCCTATCTATCGCAATCATCCCTCCCCGATGCTAACAAGGACCCCATTGTCGAGGTGGTACTAATTTGATTTCTGGCAGGGAAGAACCCAGGGGTGGTCCGAACAAGCCTTTTCCTGTTGGTTTTAGAATAAGTTAAGAGAATTAAAGGAACAAACTCAAAAATTAGAGAGAAAAAAAAAAGAGGCATCCTTGTTCGTACGAGGAGCTTGAATTTTCGGTTAAAAATGCACAATAGCTAAAATATCGACTTGATTGTTAATTGGATTCCTTGTCACTAAGTTTATAGAACATAAAATTCTTATTTTTTGTTTTATTAATTATTTTCTTGTCTTTCGTGTCGCTTTATTTTTATAAATATCTTTTTAAATCGAATTCTTAATAATTGATTTAAATTTATTTTCTGGATATTGAATGAGAGACGTAAATTCTCTCAGCTAGAGAAAAAGTCCGAAAAAGTAATTTTCTGATTTTCAATACTGAAAGTCTATTAAACTTTCAGTATGCTCATTAACAAAAATACGAGGGAAATTCAGTTGAATAGTTAAATAAATTTATTGCTAGAATTTAAGTGGTTTCTGAGCAATGCTTTTAATTAATCCGATTGTATGTATTATCTCTAAGATGTGTAATATTGACACCAATGAAGTTAATAGCCGTCACAAATCTATCACAGCAGTCATTAGATGGACGGCTCACGCTGTGAGACAGTATGTTCAATTACACCATCCCGGCTCCTACATAGCCTTCATTGTTGTCAGTTAAGCACCTAATGTCCTGGTATTTCCGACAGGAAGGAAGGCCCGGTAGCTCTCTGAGGGACCTTTTACCATTTGGAAAACATCGACAGAGAATCGCTCATCGTTAGTTTTATAGGGGGCAATGAATTATTAACAAATGTGATATACTTTTAAATTTGATACAGTTTCTAAGTAAAGATTCTCTACTGAGAAATTCCGTAAGTACAACTGTGTTTTGATACCGTCCAGATTTTTAAACATTTCTGATTATTAAAATCTCGTAGTCGTAATAAATTACGCTGACCATATTTCGCGGTATGTAGGATGGAGACTTCACAGGGAGACAAGCTATTGATGTGCTGGCCTTTCCAGATTCTGTTTACCGTTTCCCTCTTTGTAAATCGGATATTGATGATGAATTACTGTTGTGTTATGATGTGAAATAGCCACGTGCAAACATGATTTTATGCGGTGGTCAGAAATTGCTGAGAGATAAGATTTGTATGTTGATTGTTAAACAGTGAGAATCGCGAACAAAACCGTTAAAAAAGTCAGAAAGAAGGGCTATGTATCGATAAATAATGCATATAGAAATGGATTTTATTTATTTCAATTGACGATTTAAAAAAAAAAATTAATTCCTATTTTATGGTTTATATTCAAAATCAGTAATACACTCTCTTGTAGTAAATCTCACATCAAAATATCAATAGAAAATAAACAAAGATTAATAACTAAATTAACATCTATTATTAAGTTTACCAATTAAAAGCGTTCATTTTTATAAATTTATTTATTCTTTCATATAAAGGTTGTATTTTAATGTATACATATGCATCGATTATCTCGATTATCTCGTAAAATAAACAAAGATTAATAACTAAATTAACATCTATTATTAGGTTTACCAATGAAAAGCGATCATTTTTGTAAATTTATTTATTCTACCATATAAATGTTGTATTTTTAATGTATACAAATGCATCGATTGTCTTGTAATATTTTTTTTGGTTTATATACATTTACCCCCCCCCCCCCCCGAAAATAATTTTGAAAAATGGCATTTATGATCCAGTCTAAGAAATTCTTTGTTGCTTGGATTTTTGTATTTTTTAATGATCCAATCTTTCAATGAATGAAGAATGTTTGTGGCAAAAGGGAACTTTGTTCAAACCACTTACTGACCATAGTAATCTTTCGTCTTTAACAAAAGTTGAAGATTGTAGTGAGGAAAATCATGCAAATCACACAGAAACAAGTCCAAATGGACTCACAGACAACGATCTGAAACCCCAAATCCTATCCCTTCAAAAGTTGTGTAATTTGTCTAAATGAATTCTTTATATCAATGCCAGGCTTTATATATCAGTGGTCTAAATGGGAATGAATGTTCTTAGAAATTAATTCCATTTTATAAACTTTTCACCAAGACAATGTCGACCATCGATGCAACGATATTGCCTGACCGCCCCTTCTAATCCTGTCAAAGTAGCCCTGACTCTCATATTACACCAGTGAACTTTGAAGTTCTACAAAGACGTTATCAAGGGGGTTTTGTCGCTCCCCGAGGCCTTTGTTCACCGGATTCAGGGTTTATCAATATACCCGTTTCCTCTTTGTTATCTCAATTCTTCAATAAAGTGATTTCAATTTAACAAATTAATCCAGTTTATCTGGAAAGTTATTTTACCTACTTTCAATTTCGTCTTTGTAAGGATATCATGGATGTTGGAATTTAATTGAAAATACACCGGAAGATTGGTACTGGAAGAGATAAGTAGTCAACTGACTGTCCTTCAGCAAGAAAGATAATTAGCCTGGCATACAAAAAAAATATATTGAAGAATTGATTGTATTGTCTATAGGTACACATATTTATAAATCAGTTTATTTTGCCACTGTAGGGCAGGAATTGCTTGGCATAAACATAAATCCTTGACTGCAATATTTACACATTTTAAATTTAGAATTCAAATTTTGGAGTTGATTACAAATACAAAGAACAATATACGAACTGCGTAAGGATATTAAGTTTTGGTGCTTAGATGTTAAGAACTGTGAATACTAATTGTACTTTTTGACCCATCTTACAAAACAAAACAAATGCAAAAGACAAACCAAGAGAAAGAAAACAACACATACAAAACAAACAAAAGCGCTGAATATAACTGTTGAAAATATGTATAGAGATCAGTTATCAAAATTAGTGTAAGATACAGAAATGAAAATTTATTTGATACGATAATTTCAAGTGATCAAAGTTCACCCAAGCTGAAAAAAAAAATGAAAAATGGAAAGTTGGAATAAATTTTAGATATTAGTCATACACATCACATTCAAGTTGCAAATTTTCAGGATTCAAGCATAAAGGGATCGATCATCTGACCGAAAGATAAAAAAAACATTTTAAGCATCCAAAGGTGTCAGTAGATTCATCTTCAAAAGAATAAGTACATATCAATTTCTTCTGAAAATTCTTGTAAAGAAATCACACCAGTTTTATCTACAAATATTCACAATACACTAATACTGGGTTTATTTAAAAAAGAATAAAATATGGGGGCCGTAGTTTATTGATAGTTGCTGCGGATGAGTTTCAAACGATATTAACAGACACATAGCTAAGGTCTTTCATGAAAATGTTGTGTAAGCTACTAAAAGGGCAATGTTTAGAAAATTAATAGAAATATGTAAATTAAATTATTCTTTGTTTGTTAACTGATTAAAAAAAATCTGCTATTTGTTCAACACCCATAATGCGGGTTCGAATCCCACTGTGGGACGTGGAGACCGGTCATTCGGATGAGACCGTATAAACCGAGGCCCCGTTTCGCAGTAGGTGCTGGCACGAAAAAGATCCCTCACTGCTCAATGGCCCTGAGTGCCGAGTATAGGTCAAAATTTGCAGCTCTCCACCGGCAAGTGGTGGCGTCTCCATATGAGTGAAAAATTCTCGAGAGGGACGTTAAACAATAAAAAACAAAAAACAAACAACACCCATGTTTGTTTACTTTGGAAGGTGTTAAATTAATTCGTTCCCTGTTCAATTCGGACCACGGCATAAGGTCCCAAAATACAGTCATGATACTTTGTGTACAATGTTTAATTCTTTATTAAATTCAAAAGAAGTTTTGGAATTGCTTCTCATGTTTGGCGCAATTGAATCCTTTCAGGCTTTTGATTTCCTTCCTGCTAGAAAAATCATGTAATGGGAAAAAAATAAACTTTTCAAGCTAATACGTAGTAATTTAAAATCCAAGTTAAGGGATATGGGAAAACATTTTTTTCTTTGCAAATGTTAGAAATAATTTCTCTTAATTAATTTTCTTGAGAATATTATTTCTTTAAAAGAAAAAAATACTAACAATTATTTTATGCTTACAATATGGCTTCATTCCACTTACCTTCACTTACTATCTTACTAATGGGTATTATACATGTAGACTGAACAATCGATTAATCTAGTATTGTCCCATCTTAAGGGAGGCGACTGGGGTTTCCATTGCGCAATACTTCGCGCACTATATTAAAATAAAGCGTTTTTACGCGTTTAAAGCAATAAATTTAATAAAGTTTATCAAATTTAACAAAATTAAGAAAGCAGAGGTTAACATTTTATTGACATTTTCAAAGAAATGTTTTTTCCAATTATTTTGTACCTTATGGGTACATTCAAGTCGTTTTTCTGTGTTTGTGAAGTTATGATAAACTAAAATTATTTAAGAGGGAGTCACAAAAAGTTTGTAAAAGAAAAAGTATATGCTCTCAAAATTTTAAACACAGGAATTTGAAAATCTCAGTTATTTTTAATTATTTTCTGTAAAAATTCTTAGCAGCTGTCATATTTTGTACTATTCTATACAAGATAATTTCGTAAGTTTTGACATTTTGATATGGCCAGTCTTGAAACCAGACTGTGGAATTTTGTATTTTTTACATATAATGTTCATTATAGTATTGCTTATCACATATTTTAATTTAAACAAAAGGTCTATTGTAGTATTTTTGTAATTTGCTTTGCACATCGAAAAAAGCATTTCCCCATACAATCTTATGGTAAATGTAACTGTATTTTGAGATGGTCCCTAGAAATACAGTACGCAGCCGTTGGATTTTCCTGAAACTTTGCATGTACACTAAAGTCAGTGCTGGCTACACATGGTGTAAAAGAAAAGAGTTTCTAAATTGTATAGTTCTTAAACAATAAAACCCCAGTCGGCCCCCTTAAGACATGAAATAAAACATGTACTCAGTTAATTTTTTTTTTAAGTTTTTAAATTATCAACTATAATCTCAGCATTGTTTAAAAAAAGACTTAAAGATTATTCCGATATAAACACTCAGAGATACTTTTCTTTCAATATTTTGGACTTGTTGATGAAGGAAAATCATTTTGGGAGTCAAGAGTTTTTCCAGGTAAAATTCGAAGTGATATTAGTGTGGCACATACTAAAATCTCCAACAATTCATTTTTTTCAGATACATGTACCTCTTACTTAAAATTATTTTTATTGAGAATATATCTTTATTTTCTTTTCCTATACAATAAATCGCTCAAATTTCCATGCAAGTTTACCACATTTGTCACACAAACAGTTATCTCTCCTTTTCATGAGAATTTTCAGAACCCTGTCATGCTTTGGATATTTTAAAGCACTCTCCTCATTTCAGTAAATAAGTTTTGTACATCTTAATTGAAAAATACAAATTTCACTTAAAAATTAATGTGAAAATTTGTTCCACATTAAATTAATAAAATTATATAGACCTTTTATTAGAATTCTGGCGTTAATATTAATAGGTCAGTGCCCGATTAGATTAATATCTCGAATTAACTTCGTGAGTTAAATCGAAGGAAAGAGCGAATAAATTTATGTCCTTTTATAATGTTTTGTGATTTGTAAAATTATTTATATTTCTTGTGTTAATTTCATAAAAAATTACATGTACTTTTTAAAAAAGGCTCTTGGAAATCACAAATACGTACAGTGATTGTTCGAGTATTTCACTAGTATTTGATATTGAAAAAAAAAAATAAAGATACCGATTTTTTACATATTAAAATACAATTAAGAGTCTGATTTAAAATTTAGATTTTAGTGTAGGACTTAATACATCTCTGAGTAATTATATCATCCTCTAGCTGAAAAGAAGTCCTTTATGTGGTTAACCTCGGATGAACTGACATACTGAATCGTCCAGGAGCAAGAACATAGTGTCTGACAATATATGATACAGCCAATACACGTTAATGCTTGTTTTGGTTCCCGCAACTTGTTTGGTACAAAACAAAACTTCCCAATAAAAAAGGTAGACGCGCGGCGGAAATACCTCTAGCGGGTTTTTGTTGAGGGGAATAATTACCTAGTAAAATGTTTTAGCCGCAGAATTAATCTTATCACAAATTAATAAAATCCCCGAACAGATCAACAATACTTGGATACCTATTAGTCACTTGGGCCTCGGCGCACAGTCTCCTTTACAAGAGGTGGGGCTAAATACCGCGCAGATTGCAGTTTGCCATAAACAGCTTTACAAACACACATAACACCGTCATTATCCGTCTTATTATGCGATATACAATTTTACGAAGCCACTCAGTGACAATTTTCTTAAGAAAACTGTTTCTGTCGGTTTTATTCTTTTTCAATTAACTCGAAATCAAAACTTTGTACTTAGAGAATGTTCTTCACAAGTTGACATTGTCAATATAAACATCCATACTTCGTAAAAATCCTTTCACTGAAAAATAGGTAAATTTCAAGCATTTTTTTTTTTTTTTTGAATTTTGTCTTTGTGCTGATTCTAATTGAAATATTTCTTTTGTAAATTTATTCTTAATGTTGAGTTTGCCAATAAATCTTGTTAAATTGTATCGATAATGAAACTTTCTTCGTATCAAAGTAACTTAATTGAGGTAAAAGATTTGATTTGACAAATAAATCATTGAATAATATTCAATTGTGCTAGATATGTATTCACGTTATCTGTTTTGCACAGATGTGCACAATAAATCATCGCTGTATTCCTTTGATATTTAGCACCTCATTGTAAAATGGGGGTACCCATAACACTCGACTATTCGCATAAAACACCATTGGATCTGAATGGACACAGAAATAAACTCTACTGTGTTTGACACTTCCACCCGCTTACCCGCAATTATGCACACTCCACAAATAGATTTTTATTTGCCAATTTTTAAAGTGACAAATAATATTGAAATTTTATTACTTTTGCTTTAATCTGTAATTGGGAAATTTATGTCATAACAAAGCACAGGTGTTTGGAGGCGCGGAAGTTGTTGAGTGTTATTCATTTAACGTGAGCAATTTTTGTAATACTTCAATACGTCAACTTGCACAAAGTAAATGTGTGTCTTGAATTGTTACAGGTTTGGTTCCAAAACAGACGAACAAAATGGAGAAAGAAACATGCAGCGGAAATGGCATCGGCAAAGAAAAAGCAAGAACAAGCCGAGGACCTGGAAACTTCCGATATAGAGGATGACCAATCGTCTGACAGCAGTAAACTGCGTGACCAAATGTCAGAATACTTAGAACAAGCTGGCTTGTAGCAATTCAAGGATGGATCCCTCGCATTCGTCTGCAATAAAAAATAGTGCTAATAAAAAAAATGGCGACAAAGCGATCGGCTGCTGAAAGAGTAATGTCGAACACTGCGCAGAGTGAGGTGGTCATACGGTTACTATTTGGCAATATTTCACTAGGAAACTAAGAACCGTGTGTTGAGGACCGATGTTTTGTACGTTAGATTTTTTAAATTTCTTTTTACAATGGTTTTCATATTTTCATTTAATTCAGGAAGTAGTGCTTTTCTAGTGATGATAATTGCACGAAAACCTCTGGTTGAACTACATGTAATTGGTGATTTAGAGCTCTAGGTCAGAGACATACTAGTATATATATGTCTACTTAGATAGAGTGATTTATAAAACAACAAATGTGCGTACATTGGTGCTAGCTGCTTCTATTATAAGAATATTTTAAAACTTACGAATATTTCTGTATAAATATGATACGTTTCGCAAGAGTCTCAATTTCCTCATCATAGTATTGATACTAAATTATTTCTACATACAGTATAGCACTATTTTGCATTATACACGGATTTCAAAATTAAGAAGTTCTACGTCATTGATCAATGTAGTAGGGATATGCCACCATTATAGTTAATCATTTGGGAAGCTCCTGTCATTTTCAATCGTTTACTTTTGTTTTTGCATTTGAGGCATTAATAAAAAGATCTCCCGATCATCCCATTCGGCTCAAGTCGTCCCAGAAATATCCGTGCCATTCTGTTTTTTTAGCGCAAGTCCATGGAACGCGAGAAACCCATATCTGTTCATAGGACAAAAAAGCGCCAAAGTCGCTACAATATTTCACCGAATATTGACACTTGAAATCCTGCATTCATTACCCCTCGATTTATCAAGATTTGCCCATCAAAAAGATTAGTTGACTCGCGTCAAGTTTGACAGAGTATCTTACTCTATGTACCATTCCAAGTTACTGCCAGGCAGTGGACTCTATGAAAGCTCCTCTTACACAACATAAACGTGTACTTTCTCAACATGCGGTCATCTGTTGTAATATTGTGCTGGAGTCCATGACTAAATGTTAAGCTTTACCATGTACCCGTTCAGCGTTATGTTTTTCTAATTTTTAGAGATAACAAAACAAGTTAAAATTTTAAAGTCAGTATTGGTATCACTGTTTATGAAGAAATTCCAAAAATCTTTTGCATTTGTAATCTACCAATTTGACACAGAACTACTTTTTAAAGTTCCCAATTTGCGTTATCGAAAAATAACACAAAACATAGTCCATCTTGTGTTTATTTAGACTTGCTCCTATCGCCCAGATACGGTTAAGACACCACGCTAGAATATCTCAGAGCCGATGGTTCAATTTCAATTTACAGCCATTATAAGCGATTCATTTCAATAGAATTCACATGTATATTAGCATTAAGAAAATCGTGCAATAGCTAGTATTGACAAAAACATATATCCGAAAGATTAGGGAAACCTCATGTCTGGGAAGGAATCTCAGGACCAGGGACTTAATAAAATAACTTTATATCTTATCTTTGCCTATTTCGGTTTCTTTGAAACCCAGTGAATGTTTATTTAGTATTTACCTGAGGAAAGGTATAGCTGATATTTAAAAGTCTGCATTAGCAAAACGTAATGGCAAACTGCAGCTTTCTGCAATCATTTTTCGTGCATATAAGACGGGGATTATGGGCAAAGCCTCATTGACAAGCAATTCATTTTGACTTTTGATCAATGAAAAAAAGCTGTACGTTTTTTATTATTATTTTGAATTTATACTGTACATTTTTTCAATGATAAAATTAAAATTTTATGTCTATATCAGGATTAATGACGATATTAAAGGAAATAAAGACCAAAATGTATTGACTTTTTGTTTGTTTTTACGTTTTAATCGTTGTTGAATGATACAAAAAATGCTTTAGGAATATTAACACGAAGACAAAAAAGGAAACGCCAGATACATGACAAAAGCATTGAATGATTAGAAATGCAACTGATGGTGCTGTATAATTCACACTATATATATATATTTGCATATGAATTACATGCATATTTGGAATTACAGTTTTTGCAATCATATCCCCAATTACTGACCAAAAATATTCAGTACTTTATATTGGCACTCACCATATTAAACGTGCCGTTTTAACCTCATACTTTCTCAAACATCTCGCACTTGTTAACCATCTAGAAGCACAAATGTCATTCAAACTGGTTCAATTCTGAGAGACTGTCTAGTGGAGGTCTATTTTGTTTCTTTGCAATTTCTTGTATTTTTTTTTAATTTCATCTATAATGTACACTGAAATCTTTTTCACTGCATTTACTTTGCGCAATAGGCAGAAGTGTGTAGTACATGTAAACGTTAGCACGGGACAGTTTAGCTGCCTAATGTGATTTGCCATGCTAAGACGGCGCTTCTTGTGACTTCACTGTACTGTCTGACACTGTGTATTGGGAGGACAGAAAATATGCATTCAACCCAAAGATTTCCCTATTTTTCAAATATTTGAGGGTTCTTCATTCAGAATAATCGTATGTGTAACATTAAAGTATTCGAAAAGTTGATTATTGCATCAGGTTTCTGACTACACAATCTTCGGCATCTCTTATATATGTTTAAAAAATGAAAGAAAGAAAAAATAAATAAGTTTGAGTATTATATGCTTTTCGCTCATATTCTCTATTAGAAATACACCTTGAATTAATTCTTCAATTGACTGCAATACTTTCTTACAAAAACATACAATCTAGTACAATGAAAATAAGTCTTAGCTATTAGCATAAAGTTCTTTTAACAAAATTTTACCTTGAATTTGTTCCCATGACCTCTACGAAAGGTCAAGTCAGAAATATGCCCAGTATGCTGTTGGTTAACTACAGTCTGTACTAGAAATTCAAATTTGATATTTTTCTAGTCTTTCGTAAAAATTGTTAATATGATGGTGCGTTTTTTTTTTAATGAAATTTCCCGAAAGAGTAAACAAAAAAATTTGTTGCCCTTTGAAATCTATTTCTGCAAACTGTATTTATGATTTACTATAATCTACTAAGACCAAGAAAACTGTATTTATTCCGGGTTTTTTTTTTTTCTTACTATTTCACACACATAAATGGATGAAGCTAAGGTTTTCTTAAAACAAAAAGCAAAATAAAAACAAACAAACAATAAATAAAAAAAAAAAAAAAAAACAAGCTAATTTGGAAAAAAATAGTTTTAATTTCTTTATAGCCAAAATAACAGTTGACGAAAATATCCAGTTTTTGGTTTCCTCTTTTTGAAAGTAAAATTAAGACTCCTTTATTCTTTGCGTTATCCCCCCCCTCTCTCTCTCTCTCTCTCTCTCTCTCTCACAGATATTGGTCCTTTTCAAAAAAGCCACCGGCGCCCTCTCTGCGCTCCCGATCCATAACTATGGGGTCCGCATTAATAGGGGTTACAATGTAATCCGGAAGTCCTCGGCTTTTGACAACTTTGATTTATTACATATGAGGGGGATACATAAATGGTTATTTGTTCGTGAACGAAAGAAATGAATTATTTGTATTTCTATTTAAGCAAATAACGATTTTCTTTCTAGGGAATTGAGTTATAACTATGAGACTGGAAATATGATTATCTTTAATGATTGACTGACATGATTTCTTCCTTCTCGTGTTTATTAATTAAGCAGCTAGACACAGATCGCGTCTCTTATGCCCTTCTCCCTCAAATGTAAACATTTTACTGACTGATAAAAGATTCATCAATTTGATACTGTGCAGATAAAACTCCTAGTGTAATAACCAAAATGCGAAATCCAAATTATATGTTTAAGAGCAAATTTCTTACAAGATGCACAGGTGTAAAATAAATCATACAACTGCAAAATAATAATAATAATAATAATAATAATAATAAAATTAAAAAAAAAATAAGCAACAAATGTAGAAGGAAGATTTTCTGTGCTTAAACAACCTAGTCCTAGTCCCATAAACCGTATGTCATTGTGTGGACTGAGGTGACATCCATCAAATAAATCTACTCACACAATGGACGACCGTCAGAGACTATATAAATTATCCATTCGCCACTTCCCTGCCGCGCCTAATGAGGGAGTCCTCTTTATTCCTGTAGAGCATTTTTTATTTTTTAAAATAAATTATAAGATCGTTGGGGAGCAAGGACCAGGTAGCCGCGGAATGAGATAAACTTTGGTACGGTATTTAAAAGTCTGTTTTTGGACTACATATTTCACTAATAATAGTCCGTTGATTTTGTGGCTTTCATGTTTAAGGATATTGATAACTGCATTATCTTTAGATTGAATAAAACATGCCACATTTATATTTTTATGTGTCCCAAATTATTCAAGATGTAAAGTGCAATTCCTACGGTGCGCGAGATAAATTACCGTATTTAACAATTGGACAAAATTAATTCTTCGATGTTGACCCTCAATGTTGCTCCTTTGCTCAAACCATTTGTTCTAATCTTCTTTTTTAAACAAATGCTGCATCCCAACTTGCTAGCATTTAACACTGAAGGCGTTACTAAGTGTTAATTTCACTCTCAGGGAATAGCCTCTCTTTGAGGTCATAGAGTCTCCTTGTCGTCTGTCTCAAAGACGCGCGAAACTCGACACGTGTTGTTGACAAGACCAATTCTTCTAAGAGTGATGATTTATTGCCCTGCTTTTGAAGCTTATTAATTGTTAATGTCCCACTGAAACAAATTAATAAAAGAGAAAGATAGTGATGCCATTGATCTGGTACACGGACAGCTTAACAAGAAGGTATCTCTTTAACTCTGTACACAATTTTCATACTTCTGGAGTATTCAGTATAATACAAATATATATTTATATTTGTTTGACAATTCAGATGGTATTTGAATATGATTAATTTTTCATGATTTTTTTTTTTTTTTTTTTTTTTTTTTTTTTTTTTTTGGTGTGTGTGTGTGTGTGAGTGATAAGCCCAAGCAAAAAATCCACCTGAATTGCTGATAAGAAGAT